CATGGGAGGGAAGGACACAGGGAAGAGGTAACTATGGGAAGAAAGTGGGAAGAGAGCTGTTACACTGTGGGGAATTGTAGTCAATGTCATGAGACAACATGTAGGAACTGCTACATGGAAAATGAATTTGCTCTGTAAACTCTCACCCAAATCACAATAAAAATTTAAAAAAATAAATAAAAGGGAAGAGAAAATGCTGCATCTCAACTGCAAGCAAATATGATAAGGAGCACTATTAACAATAAAACCACCTATCTACAAATCTACCTATTTACTATCTTCAACTAGCTGTTACTGAAGTTTGACTAGGGCCCTATTTGAAAGTATAATTTGTATGATTTATGCTGTAGTTAACAATTATCTATCTCCAACTCCATTCTGTGATCCCTCTCAAAAAAGGGGTGTCCCACTCGGGACCACAGTCACAGGGGACATCAAGCTCAATTGGCATAACATATTACCCAAAAACTTTGTTCTACATCCTACTCTGGCGAGCAGCAATTAAGATCTTAAACACTTGCAAGCAGCCATCTAGATGCATCTAGAGCAAAGAAGAATGAAGAAAACCAAAGATGCATGGAAACGATTAGTCCAAGCGACTGGTACACCATGCAATCCTCAGCCTATACGACTATGAGACCAGAAGAACTGGATGGTGCCCAGATACCACTGTCTACCACTTGGAGGGGGATCTACATAGAAGATCCTGGATAGAATGGGAGAATAATGTGGAACAAAACTCAAAATAATTTAAAAAATAAAGGGAGCAGTTTTGCTGGTCTGATAGAGCCTGATGGAACCACTGAGACTATGGCCTCTAGCTGCCCTTCAGGTCTGGAATCGAACCCACTCCCATGGCTTCCAGCCAACCAAAAGACAGGCATATGAGCTGAACATTTACATTAGGTAGATACATTCCTTGGAGAGATCAATCATGGGAGAATAGAAAGGCTGTGTGTGCACAGGGAGATAGCTCAGTGGGCAGGAGTGCATGGGAGAGAAGGATACAGGGAAGAGGTAACTATAGGGAGGAAGTGGATAGGTAGCTGTTGCATTGTGGGAAATTGCAGTCAATGTCATGAGACAAAGTGTATGTGAGCCGCTGTATGGAAAGTGAATTTGCCCTGTAAACTTTCACCCAAATCACAATAAAAATTTAAAAAGTATATATATGGTAGAAAATGTATACGGTTTACATGAAAATGCACAAACCACTGGCAAATTTGACAAAGGAAAAGAAAGAAAAGTTGTAAATATAACATGAATAAATGAAATAGGTGATGTTACAATAGAACCAACTGAAATAGAAAGAATAATATGAGAATATTATGAAGAATTGTACTCCAATAAATTTGAAAACCTAGAAAAAATGTCAAATTTCTAGAAACATGCAAACTACCTAAACTAACACAGTCTGAGGTAGACATTTGAACAAAAGAAAGAAGAAATTGATCAGGTCATTAAAAAAAAAAAAATTCCCAATAACCAAAATAAGTCCTGGTGCCAATAGCTTCACTAGCACATTCTACTGAACATTGTAAGAAGAGCTGACACCAATTCTACTCAAACTATTCCACAACATGGAAAAGGATGGAATACTCCCAAACTCATTCTATGAAACAAACATAACCCTGATACCAAAACCAGGCAAACCAAAACTAAATTAACCCACTGCCATTGAGTTAATTCCAACTCATAGTGACCCTATAGGGCAGGTACACCTTGCCCCTAGAGTCTCCAAGGCTGTAAATCTTTATGGAAGCAGACTGCCTCATTTGTCTCCCATGGAGAAGTTGGTGGGTTTAGACCGCCAACCTTTTGGTTAGCAGCTCAATGTTTTAAAAACCGGGCAAAGACACCACTGAAAAAGAAAATTACAGACCAATATCACTCATGAATATAGACACAAAAATTCTCAAGTAATCCTAGCTGGTAGAATCAAGCAACATAATAAAAAAAATAATACCTCATGACTAAGCGGGATTCACACCAGGTATGTAATGATGGTTCAACATTAGAAAGACTGTGTAATCCACCACATAAATAAAACAAAGGACAAGAACCACATGAACATATCAACTGATGCAGAAAAGGCATTTGACAAAATTCAACACCTGTTTTTCAATAAAATGCTCAACAAAATAGAAGATAAATTCTTTGATATAATTAAGGACAATAAACACAAAACCAGTGGCCAACATTATTCTCAGTAGATATAGACTGAAAACATTCTCTTACAAACAGCACACAGGCAAGTTTGCCTTTTATCACCACTTCTAATCAATATTGTTTTGGATATCCTATTCAGACCAGTAAAGCAAGAAAGCGAAATAAAAGCCACCAGATTGGCAAAGAAGAACCAAAACTATCTCTGTTTGCAGATGATATGATCCAATACATAAAACATCCCAGAGACTCAACAAGAAAACCATTGCAACTAATAAAACAATTCAGTAAGATGGGAGAGGACAAGATCAACATACAAAAGTCAGTTGGATTCCACTGCATTAACAAAAAGAACTCTGAAAAGTAAATCAGAGAAACAGTACCATTTACAATAGCAACACAAAAAATGAGAAATATAAAAGTCCTTTACACTACATAAAGAAAACTTCGTAACACTACTACAAGAAACCAAAAGAGACCCATAGAAATAGAAGAATATACCATGCTTAAGGATAGGAAGACTTAACATTATGAAAATGTCTATACTACTCAAAGTGATCTACAGGTACATAATGCAATCCTGATCCAGATTCCATCATCATTCTTAAAGAGATGGAAAAAGTAACCAACTTTATATAGAAAGGAAAGACACCCATGAAAAGCAAAGCTCTACTAAAGAAGAAAAAAAAATTAAGAGGTCTCACTCTCCCTGATCTCAAACACTTCTGCAACAGCCACAGTAATCAAAACAGCCTAGTACTTCTACAATGAGATACACGTAGACCAGTGGAACAGAAATGAGAACCCAGAAGTCTGTTTACATCTGGATGGCTGATCTTCAATGAAGGATCAATAGTCATTAAATGGGGAAGAGATAGTCTCGTTAACATCTGGGCTTGCAAAATTAGACATCCATTTGCAGATAAGTGAAACAAGATCCATATCTCTCATCATATACAAAAACTAACTCAAGATATATCAAAGACCTAAATATAAATCCTAAAACCATAAAGATCATCACACAAAAAATAGGAGCAAATTTAAGGGCCCTGATACATGGCATAAATACACTATCAAACATAACTAAAAATACACAAATAGCAGAAGACAAACTAGGCGACTGGGACCTCTGAAAAAGTAAACATTTATGCACATCAAAAGACTTCACCAAAAGAGAAGAAAGAGCCCAAATCACCTTAACCCAACATCTCCAATGATTAGGAAGATAACAGCAAAAAACAAAAAACAAAACAAAACAAAAAACTCCTACAGCCACCAGAAAAGTGGAAAGAACAAAGATTACTTATAATCTTAATAATAACATAATAACGAGAGCTCCTTTTATAGCAAGTAAATAGCAATGAAGAAAAAAGTTAAAAGACAAATCCAAAAAACATAAAAAATTAGTTACAGAATACCAATTAGAATCTAGGATTAACTACTAATTAGTATTAACTTGTGTGACTGCTTTTTAAAAGATGAATAACAAGTTGTACATATAATCTGTGAGATGGAGGGATAATCACTCATTGATATCAGATGGCAAATTCCTTATGTGGTAAAAAATGGAAAAAAAAATCAATGACTAATAAAACTGAATACCCAAATAAGATAGTCAAATATATCATATTTTACACCTTTTTTATTATGCAGTGAAACACTTAAATGATAAAAACACAAAAAAACAAACCCACTGCCATCAAGTCAATTCTGACTTATAGTGACTCAATAAGAGTAGAACAGCCCTGTAGGATATCCAAGGCTATAAATCTTTATGGAAGCTAACTGCCTCATCTTTCTCCTGTGGCATGACAGATGGGTACAAACCACAGACCTTCTGCTTAGCAGCCAAATGCTTTAACCACTACACTACCAGATTATATTATTATATTGATAGCCCATTTCTTTTACATATAAAGGAGACATATTGGAACAGTATCTGTAAGTTTCCTTTATAAACAGTATTTTCCATCTTTGTAAGAACCAAGAATGCTCTAAATATAAACTCCTTTATTCTGAAGAGGTTCCAGATAATTTTAAGCCTTCTATGATAACTCTGTTAGTAGGGGTTAGGTAAGAAACATTTGTTACTGGCTTTTCCTCTACAACTTGAGCAAAAGCCTTAAAAAGCAATCTGTATACAAATTGGTCAGACATTTATAATTCATATCTTACCGTTTACAGAAAAAAAAAGCCTAAAAACAAAATCAGTTTCTGAAAGTATAGGATTAGATGCTAGAAAAGTATCAAAGTTATATAAAATAACTGATTTTAAAAGTCCTATATCCCCATGCGGGGGAGCTCTGGTAGCATAGTATCTAAGGCACTTGACTACTAACCAGAAGGCTAGCAGTTCAAACCCACCAGCCACTCCTCGGAAGGAAGGTTGGGCAATCTACTTCCATAGTGATACTGCCTCGGAAACCCAAGGAGGGGTTGCTATGAGTCGGGTCCGACTCGACGGCACATAACAACAACAACATATCCCCATGTAGGACAAATCTACTAACTCAGTAACAGACAGTGATCATATTTAATATGCTTATAAATCACCAAATCCAGTATTGCATAATATAACCTTCAAGGTTCATAAATTATGAAATTCATCTCTGAATATTTAATTTAATAAATACAGTTAAATGATTATGACTAAGTAGCTAAAAATTTACTCTTCTCTTTAAGTAAAGGAAACTCAAGAAAATTGAGAGAAGTTCTAAAATATTGACAAGAAAAACAGAATTAAATCCAACATATAATTGAGATAAAAAAAATAATAAAACTGCTTCATTAAGTCATTTTTCATTTAATCTCAATTATTAAAATTAGTCACTTACTGTGTAAGTTATAGCTGCCAACATTCCAATCAAGGTGAGAGAACTAATGGAAAAGGATAATGCAGCTAAACCATCTATAAAGAAAAAAAAAAAAATACTCTGTCAAATATGTATTTATATACATATATATTTATAAGCTACTCAAATATTTATATTTCAATAAATCGATATAGAAAAATTGGACTCCTTATCCATTTTGAAGAAATAAGCCCAATATTATTACCACATGTTGGAGAGCTAACTCCAAGTACATAAAAGAGTTTTTAAAAGGTTCTTCATATATTGCTTTGTAAAATATCTTGCACACTAAGATTTTCTTCCCTTCACCTCTTAAAACTAAGAGGAAAATTAGTGCCTAATTATTAAACCTGAAAAAGAGATTAGCAAAATATCAGATGCTCAAAAGGTGATAAAAAGATATCCTAGCCTTTTTCAATGCCAGTCCTTGAGAAATAATATTACATTGGAAAGCCACTAACTTTGATGCTTTCTCCCCTCTCTTCTAAATCTTGATACTTCCAGTTTCTTTTTCTCAATGCTCAAATAAGTCTTTAATATATAGCCTAAAATTAAAATTTAATTAAAGAATTTATTTCCCTCTTTATCTTGAAATGGGCTAGCGTGCCTGCATGGTAGAAAAGTGAAAGCAAAAATAAAGAGGAAGATGCAAATAATAATACCACAAAAGCATTTTAACAAGCTAGATTTAGAAAATTATTCAAAAGAAGGCCAGTAAATGAGGAGCAGGGATGACTTTTTCAAATAAATATGCCAGAGTATATAATGAAATACTAAATAAATTTGAATATTCATAAATGAGAGCAATACTATTTTTCTAATTTTAATAGTGATCCTGTTGGACCTGTAGTGATTCAATATGAACACATATTCTGTGGAACCAAATATAAAATTTTGATTAATTTAACATGTTAACATTAATATCTTCATGATTAACATTTAAATTAGAATAATCTATCTTCTTAAAAACCATGTCTCAGTTTTATATAACACATGAAGAAATTGTATTAGCTAATTCACAAATTATACAAAGCAAATTTTTAAGCTTTTTTAATTTTTGAAAAACAATTTAATAGTATATTTAATCAAATCAAGGGAGCATTGGTGGCATGGTAGTTAGAGCAACAAAAGGCTGCTGGTTCAAACCAATGAGCTACCCCATGGGACAAAGATGAGGCAGTCTGTTTCTGTAAAGATTTACAGCCTTGGAAACCCTACTGGGAAGTTCTCCTCTGTCCTGTAGGGTTGCTATGAGTCAGAACTGACTCGCATTTTTTTGTTTGTTAGTTTGTTTTTAGCAAATCAAAGACATTCTGGTGCTATTACTTATCTTGACCTTTCTATAAATATCAAAGGGTGTTCATACAACTATGAAAGAGCTTCCATCTGTCTGTTAGTGATTTATGGTTATGTCACTTAGAAAATATACACCGAAATCAGAAAGAAAAAAACATGAAAATGATACGCATTTTAGAATAAAATAGAGTATTATGCCAACCTGCTTTGTCAATCAGAAAACTTAGTATTATTAATACTAATACAAATCATCTGTTTACTTAAAGAAGTCAATTTTAAAGAAACCGAAAAACTCACAATTGATCATTAAGAGCTATTACCATTTGGGTAAAGGATGGCTAGATAAGCACATGCCAACAACACTGAAGATAAGTTCTCCTGATCTGGTAGGGCCCATGATCTGAGCTCGTAAATATTTGTTTTTGTTGTTAGGTGCTATCAAGTTGGCTACTACTCCTAATGAAGCTGTGTACAAAAGAACAAAACACTGCCCAGAGCTACACCATTCCCACAATCTTTATTATGCTTGAGCTCATCATTACAGTCACTGTGTCAATTCATCTCATTAAAGGTCTTCTTCTTTTTCACGAACCCTCTACTTTATCAAGCATGATATCCTTCTCCATTGACTGGTCCATTCTGACAACATGACCAAAGTATGAGACCAGTATAGCCATTCTCACTTCTAAGGGGCATTCCAGCTATAGTTCTTTCAAGACATATTTGTTCATTCTTCTGGCACTCCATCATATTTTCAGTACTCTTTGCCAACACCACAAGTCAAATGCATCAATTCTTCTTCTATCTTTTTTATTCATTATCCAGCCTTCACATGCATATGAGGTGATTGGAAATACCACAGGTTGGATCAGGCACATCAAAAGCAATGTCTTTGCTCTTTAAAGATTTGCCTAGTGTGATACACTGTCTGATTTCTTGACTGCTGCTTCTATGAGTGTTGATTGTGGATCCAGGTAAAATGAAATCCCTGACAACTTCAAGTTTTTTTCTCTATTCTTCGTGATATTGCTTACTGGTCCAGTTGTGAGGATTTCTGTTTTACTTATGTTGAGGTAAAATCCATACTGAAGGCTGTAGTCTTTAATTTCATCAGTAAGTGCTTCATATCTTTTTCACTTTCAGAAAGCAAGGTTAGGTCATCTGCATATTGCAGGCTTTAATGAGTCTACCTTCAGGCCTGATGCTACATTCTTATTCATATAGTCTAGCTTCTCAGATTATTTGCTCAGCACACACATTAAGTATGGTGAAAGGATACAATTTTGATGCATACCTTTCTTGATTTAAAACCATGCAATATCCTATTGCTGTGTTTGAATTACTGCCTCTTGGTCTACGTACAGGTTCCTCATGAACAAAATTGACTTCTGGAATTCCCATTCTTCACACTGTTATCTACAATTTGTTATGAAGCACACAGTTGAATTCCATTGCATAGTCAATAAAATGCAACTAAACATCTTTCTTGCTTTCTTTGCTTTCAGTCAATATCCAACCAACCAACCAGCTTCCTTATACTCCTCATGCTGAAAAAATTGCAGAAAGTATCAAGTATGTGATCACCCAGAGCCTCACGCCTCAAAAGTACTTGATCTATTGGTGGTACTGTTTTGCATATTAATGTTGCCACCTTATATTACAGATTAGCAGGGCCCTCTTTACTAACAAAGACAGGGTCACCAGTGTCTTTACGATTAACCAAATTGGAGAACCAAAACAGAATCGGCGAGAAATAATTAAGGAAGCCCATCCTAAGATTCTGTCTCTCTAGAACCACTCCTGGCACCAAATGTGTTACACTGGGTTCTCTAGAGAAGCAAAGCCAGTAAAGCTTGTATATATATATATATA